GTACATATTCAATGATTTGCTTAGTGGGCTTCTTTGTGCTTCAGAGCACTTATAGTTACTGATACCGGGTCAGTGAATATTTGGTCGTCCTTGAAAAGCGTCGGAATTGAAGAACTAACATTATTCTTTACACTTTTAACGAACGACCAAAAGGCTTTGCTGCCCCTAGGAACAGCAAGAACCATAATCTGCCATTGGGGATAAAGTACCTTCGTGCATATTCAATGATTTGCTTAGTGTGCTTCTTTGTGCTTCAGAGCACTTATTGCAGTTCCAACTCATGTCGGCAATTTCATCACCGACACCAGCGGTCGCAGGTGTCACTTTGAACCATTCTATCGTTGTCAATCTCTTGGCACATTGTAAAGCTGTCCAGCTTCCAGCGATTCTCGTTGAAATATTTTGAAGAATTGTTATCGCAACCGAATTGAAACTTTTGATAGCGTACAAATAAAATCAAAATCCACACTTTAAATTAAATTCACGTTTTTATTGTCCTTTTAGTTTTAAAAAGTATAGTAATATAAAATAATAATTGTATGATAAAATAGGAGTATGTAATGGGTATAGAGTGGTGAGACGAGCTGAGGTGGTATCACAGAAGTGGTGGTGGTAGTTGTAGTGAAGGTAGATGATATAGCGGAGGTAGCTTCAAAATTTTTATTTCTGTTCGGCTTAAATATTCGCGACTAACTGCCACTTGCAACACAATCACATAAAAATTTGACGTTCAGAATACAATGTCAGGACACATTCTACGGCGCCATCAACTACTATTTCGGCTGTAACAAGGGGCATGCTACCTCACATATAAATTCAATTTTTATCAATTCTGTACCAGGTTCCACTAGAACCTTAGCTACCTTAGTTTTAATGTGTTTAATATGGCATTGAAATGTTAACAAAACAATTTTCTTTTGGTCGATGAAATTAATGTCGGTGTTACAGTTTGCCGACTAGAGAAATGGCCGTAAAATGTAAATATGAAAAATTGTAAATGTTTTTTTGTTTATGTTGTTTCCAGGCTAGTGAATTATAAAAGTTATAAGTTTCGTGAAGGAAAAACACAAAAACTTATAAATTTAAGACGAAACATGCTGAGACATGCTAAGGAAGTACAAATACCTAACAATTCTATTAAAAGCTAATCTAAGTTTTTTCATGATGTAGACAGAGGTACCAGAAAATACCTCCAATGAATCCTCCTCTTAATATTAAACGGCAACAATAAATCTAAGCTGTAAAAATAACCTTACATAAAAAAATATGATTTTTATAAATATTTTTATTTGATTTTATAACGAAGTTGTTTGATTTTTACACTGATAAATATTTTTACTGATTTAATAAATGTTTTTGTTTGAGTTATGTTTTTATGTCTGCATATGGAATCCAACAATAAAACAACTTTTAGGATATACTAAAATGAATTAATATGCTTCTTATTTGATTTATAACATTTAATGTATAAGTATTTCAGTTTCAACAGTACAAAATAATAGTTTCTAAAATGAAAAATAAAATTTGGGGTTTCTTATAAGTGTTGTAAGTAAAAAAGCAAGTTTTTTCTTGTCAGTATTCAAATTATTTGTAGATTTGGAAAACTAATTTGTTAAATTATATTTGAAAAATTCAATTCAAATTTTTCAATAAAGATTTTTGCAGATTCAACAAAAAATTTGTTTGATAATTCATTTTAAATATATGTAACAAAATTCATGTTTGTTTTGGTAAATAATTTTTTTGAAATTGTAGTGAATTTTTAATAAGTTCTTTAGCTAATTTTTTCAATTAATTCTATGCGAATCTGTTTACTAAATATACAATTTTCGTAATACGTGAGTTCTTGTACTGAATCGTAAATTTATTTTTTCTGTGAAGATACAATAGAATTCACAAGACTCTCAAAGCTCAAACCAGTAACAATAATAAAACAAGTTAGGGTGCTATATTCGGCTATGCCGAATCTTAGATACCCTCCACCAGCAATCTACTTTTTATTAAAACCCATTTAATTATCTAATTTTTAGCTAACTTGACAAAATTTTTGTGTGTATATTGAACACAATTTAAAAGAAAATATGAATTAACCAAGCGTAGTTATTTTTATACATTACACACATTACGCATAACTATGAAATTATGTAATAGTTATGTATTTTATTCAAACCTTTGTGAGAAGGATATATATAAGTTTGTCATTCCGTTTGTAATTTCCAAAATATAATTTTCCGACCCCATAAAGTATATATATTCTAAATCCTTATAGAGAGCGGAGTCGATTAAGCCATGTCTGTCTGTCAGACCCCAGATATCGGCGAGATCCGAATCTTCAATAATTCTGTTAGCTTTCGGGAAGATAAATAAATAAGCAATTTTTACTTTTGCATTTTTAAAGTGAAATTAATAATTGCTAAATAATCGAATTTTATTTATTAGTATTTATCACATAATAAATGCTTCTTTAATATTGACACTGCAGTTTTATTATTTTGTAAAAACCCAACAAAGACAACCCAACAAATGTTTTTGTGGTTAATATGTATATTGATTTTGTTTTTTGGTGCATTCAGTTTCGTTTGTTTGGATGGCTGTGTGTTTCATTGCCTTGTGTTTTTGTTTCTTGGTGTATTCAGTTTCGTATGTTTGGATGTCTGTTGGTTTCATTGCGTTTTGTATTTTGTTTTTTTTTTTTTTTTTTTTTTTTTGTGTATTTCCTTTCGTAAGTTTGGATGTTTGTTGGTTTTACTGCCTTGTGTATTTTGTTTTTTGTGTGTTTATATTGTTTAGCGTTGTTCGTTTTGCTATTGCTAATATAATAATGATATATTCGGGAAAATTAAATAAATTTAAATTTTATAAAATTGATATTTATACCCTACACCACTTTAGTGAGGAGGGTATATTGGATTTGTGCTGATGTTTGTAACATACAAAAATATTCGTATATATTAAAGTATACCAATCCGCTTAGAATCGTTTTCTGAGTCGATTAATTGGATGAAATTTGGCACGCACGTTTTATTTGACCCAAGGACGAAGCCTATTGAAAATGGTAAAAATCGGTCCATTATTTCACCTAGCCCCCATAGAACAGAACCCCCCGAAAAATGCTTATGAGCTCATAATTATGTTAAATATACAGATATATCGATAAAATACGGCACAACTAAGTTTTATAGAAGTCTTGATGACCCTGCCAAATTTCATAAAGATCGGGCCCCATTTGACCCTAGCTCCCATACAAAGTCCCCTTCAGAAAATTACTTGAATGTCCCAAATTAACTTATAAACACAAATATCGCGATGAAATTCAGCACAATAAAATATTATGTAAATATAAATATATTCACAAAATTTTATCGGGCTTGGTCCTTTTTTGCCCCTAGCCCCCATATAAAGCCTCTTTCAGAAAATTAGTTTTTCATCCATAAATTGCTTAAATGTATCGGAACAAGGGAATATTGAAGATAAATGCTTTATTATAAAAAATAAATCACATTTAATATTCATAACTGGTGTAGGGTATCATATGGTCGGCCACGCCCATATGATACCCTATACTTTCTTACTTGTTTTTTACACTATGGTGAAGGGTATATAAGATTCGGCACAGCCGAATATAGCACTCTTACTTGTTTAAACTAAAGAATTTACCTTCTTAAGAAATGTATGGAAAATAAAGTAATTTTCGGATATCGGCTTTATATGGGAGTTATAACCATATATTGTTTTATCATCAGAAGGGTCAGTGATGTGATTGTTGTGCATTTAATAGATATTTGCTTTGTACGGAAGCTATACCCTTAATTATGGACCAAATTTTTTAAAGATAAGGTAGAACAACTTTTGTGCATATCAAAATTATTTCTGTTGAATTTTATGTTGATATAAGCATTTTTAAAAGATTTATATTAATTAATGTTATTTCTTATACCATTCTCATATGTAAGGTATTTCCAATTGGAATGTTATTAAATAGTGGAAATATTTGTCCGGTTTCAAAAACTTTTAATAGTGTCATAAATCTACGGACTACTTAATGTTTAATAATATTTCAATTTGCTTAATAAGAAATTTTTGTCACACGTAACAACTTATACAAAAACAAGTAAGAATTATATATTCGCCGTTGCCGAATCTTATATACCCCTCACCATGGTGTGTTTAAAAGAGATTAATTTTATAAAATTTAAATTTATTTTATTTTTCCCTACTCTACCATTACTTTGGCAATAACAAAACAAAAAACAACAACAATACCAAATGAAAGAAAAACAAAATAAGCAAAGCAATTAAACCAATGCACATCCAAACAAACGTGTATTTTCCAATAAGCTATGTTGTTGTTGCTTTTTTGTCCAAGCATTCAAAAAATTATCTGGGATCTTCAGAAAATAGATTTCAACAGACAGATGGACATGGCTTAATCGACTCCGCTATCTATAAGGATCCAGAATATATATGATTATTAGAGCCGGAAAATGATATTGAGAAAATTACAAACTTTGATTTCTGTCCATTAAATTCTTTCATTTCTTCCTTCGACCAAATATAGAACTATTGAAACCGTATAAAAAATTAAAAAACTGCATTAAATTGAGGAATCTTTGCCCCGTTTCAGTATTTTTTGCATCGAGAAAAATTGTCGGAAAATTTATGATCATCTTGTAAAAAACGCCCTGTTTTGAACACAAGCAATTTAAATATTTCGTGTTAAATTTTAATGCGTAAATTTTGAAAATATACTGAACAACCCTTTTAAAAAAAGGGAGAGAATCGAGAAAAAAATATTTTTATTTTTTTTTTCTCGATTCGAGAAAAATACAGAAACGAGGCACTGAATTCATTGTAACCTTTAGATGCGACAGGGCCTTAAATAAAAATTATCTCTGATAGTGGGAGAAGTTCCGTCGCAAAATTTTTAATACACACTTTATACATATTTGAAAAATTGTAATCATCATACTTATATAACATTAATTTTATATATTTTTCAGGGTAAACAGAAGAAGGTTAAGAAGAATAAAATGACAAAATTGGATGCACGTATTTTGGGCTTTTCCGTTACAGCCGCCGAAGGCCGCATAAATGTAGGAGATCGTGATTATGGAGATGCTCCTTAAGCTTAAAATGTGCTTTAAAAGAACGAGCAAAAGAAGTTACTTTATTGTACTTCAATTTAATTTTATTAATTGTTAAACATTATTATTTTTTTTAATTAATACTCTCATTTTATAAAACTAAACTTTTGTTGGAGTAAAAAATTTGTATGAAGAATACTGGGACATTTTTTAATTTTCAAATTTTTTCCATACAACGTTTGTTGTTTCGTTTTATAAAATGGGACACTAAGTAACTTTAAAGATTCGTTTTTAAAACACATTTAATATTCTTCTTCTGGTTTAACATTTAATGTTAAAGTCCAAACACTAATTACAGATTCCTCTCTTTCATAACAAGCATTTTATTATTTATTTTAATAGAACTGTTAATAGTGTTAATCAATTCAATGGTACATCTTTTTTCAAAATTTTATGTGTTTAAGTAAAAAAGTTTAAAAAGAAATTTAAAATGATATGTATGTAATTGTTATATTAACAGTGCATTAAATACTGCCAAACAAGTTCGAAATAGTGTGGATGATTGAAAATCGGAAATATAAACATGAAAATGTGTTCATCTATTTTAAGAATTAATTTCATGTACTTCTTTTTATTAGCTATAATTGGTACACTTGGGTTATAACATTTGCTAATATCAAAATTTCAATAGCAACCCCTTGCATAGAATGACAAGATAATAAGAAATATAATTTTTTTTTGCGACCGTACGAAGCTTGTCTCAAATTAAAATGATTGCGTCGCAATATTATGATTAAGATGTAATATGTAATTTTGTGAAAATTATTGATAGACACAAATTTAAGACAACAACATTTTTGAATTAATATGTTTATCATTTTATTGTCCAGACAGTAAAGTTAAAAAGTTTTTGCTATAGTATATAGTAGCCCAAAAAGTTATAATCATGTTTCTTTTTTAATCAATAATTTAATTTTTTATATAAATGATCATACATTTTTTAATTTAACTTTTTTGAATTTATATATTTTTATATCTCATTTTTAATTCTCAACTACTATTTCTCAGAAATGTATACCAATTTATTATTGAAAATTACAAATAAAAGCATATAGAATACATATTTTTCCAAAAATGTTTAAAAGTAAAATATGTGTGGGTCAATAATTGACTCGACCATTACGTCCATGTAAAAGGAACTACTTTCAAAGATGTTATTATCCCACTTCTTTTAGCTTTTATATTATTATTATTAATATATTTTAATGAAATCAAAAACAGTAACAGCTAAATTTTCGTATATATGTGTTTTGGAAAAAACATAACAATAGTTTACAATATCATTAAAGTAAACACACAAAAAGACAAATGCTGTTTATAAATGATTTAGAATAATTTTCCGAATTTAAATTCTATCTACCAGCTCTTGTATGTCGAACAATGGCTCCTTCACTTTTTTAAAAAAAGTTGGGAACATTGCCTTCGACTGGCAGTTAATGTTTTTGAAAATGTAATTTTTCATTCTACTTCCTTGTTAACATTAAATGAAAACAAAACATATGAATTAAATTGAATTTCCTATTATCCTGATTATCTTGATTTCGACTTTACATTAATGAAGAAGTATATTAAAAAATATTTTTGTATGAAAGAAAAAAATTATGGCTTTTTCGTAACATGTAATTGAAAACAGAAAATTCCTGTAATTGTTATAATAATATTACATTATATACATATAAATATAAATATTGTTAATGTAACTTAAAGCCATGTTAAAAATATATAATATATATAAAAAATTGTAACCATAAAAAGTAAAATGCTTTCATACTGTCATTCATATATGTATAAATATATGTCAAATATATACATACGTATGTATATGCATATATATACATATTTACATCATATGTATAGTTTTTATAATTTAAAAATATTTGAATTAATAAAATGAAATATACATATTTTAATATATTACTTTTATAGACATGAATGGGGACTATGCTCAAGGATTTTCTTATTTTTATACCCACCATCAAAAAGGATGAGGGGTATATTGATTTTGTCATTCCGTTTGTAACACATCGAAATGTTGGTCATAGAGCCACAAAAGTATATACAGTGTCTCTCATAAGTATTCGAATTTAGGTAAACTATGAAAAGAAACCAAATTTAATAATATATTTTGTGTGCAAAAAAAATAAATTAATTTGTTATATTGTCTAGACAATCCTTAGGTTTGATATCACGCTTTTTAAAACTTGAAACATTTACATTTACTTAAATTAAATTAGCTTTTTTTAAAAAAGTCCATAAAATTGCCTCACAAAAGTATACGAATTTTTCCTGTATTTCATATTTGATCATATTATACGAAACACAAATTTTAGAATCGAATGGTTTTTACGCTTTAAATTGTTTTAAGGGGTTACTATCAACCGAAATGATATATTTTTGGCCCATTCGGTCCACACTTTTTGGGGATTTGTACCCTCTTTTTATGTAATAACATTAAATGGCGATTTTTGGCAATATTTGTAGTATTTTCTCTTTTTTTCCAGAGATAAAACCAAAATTTGATATTGGGATTTAATAGACCCCTTGGAGTATCTAAAAATAGTATTTTTTGTTACAAGAATCTGTATTTAAACGATCCAAGATATATTATTGATATTATTATTCTGTCTCTAATTCAATATATTGGAACTTAAGTCCATTTCTATAATACTAGGGTCAAAAATTTTCGGGGAAAGTTTTCTTTTATATATTCTTTTAGATATCAGATTTTATATATTTTAAGTTTTCAATGTATTGTGGAAGTGTACAACTCCAAAACATGCCTCGAAGAAACACCATTCAATATGGTAGTATCATTATTTATACCCTCCACCACCATCAGTGGTGATAGAGGGTATATATAACTTTGTCATTCCGTGTGTAACACCAAGAAATATTCATCTGAGACCCAACAAAGTATATATATTCTTGGACCTTATGAAATTCAGAGTCGATTTAGCTATGTCCGTCTGTCCGTCCGTCTGTCTGTATAAAACATTCTCACGTTAACACGAAGCAACAAAAATTAACGAAATTCACCCAAAATATTTATTATTGTCCTAGGCAGTTTGGTATTGAAAATAAGCAAAATCGGTTCACACCGGGAAAAGTTATGAATCAAAATTTGAAACAACCTCGAAAAAAATAAGCATTTATTGCACATTCTGATGTAATTTTCTCGAAAACTATGCAAGATAATTCCATGAAAATCACCATACATTCGTTTCTACACAAGAGCTTGACTCCTGCTGAAAATTGTCAGAATCGGTCAACAATTTCATATACCTCCCATACAAAAGTACATATTCCCGGAAAATGGGTTTTTTGTTAATAACTTCCGTCACAATATAAATCTTTACAAAATTTTACAAACTAAAATCTTATGTGATTAGAATTCATTCAGAGAAAAAATTTTCTGGATCGGTCCATAATTGGACATAGCTCCCATACAAGGTCCCCTCCCGAAAATAACTTAAACGCAAATAATTCATTACTAAATTAAGACATCCATATAAAATTTGGTACAAGTATTGCTCTCACATACAGAAATATTACTGTGAAATTTTTGTTCCATCGATCCATAATTGGTCATAGTTCCCATACACTTAAACGCGCATAACTCATTACTAAATTAAGATATCCATATAAAATTTGGTATAAGTATTGCTCATACGCAAGGAAATTTTACTCATATGCACAGAAATATTACTGTGCAATTTTTCTCCGAGCGGTCCATAATTGGTCATAACTCCCATACAAGGTCCCCTCCCAAAAATCACTTAAATGCACATAACTCATTACAAAATTAAGATATCCACATAAAATTTGGTATTGCTCATATGCACGAAAATATTACTGTGAAATTTTCTCCGAGCGGTCCATAATTGGTCATAGCTCCCATACAAGGTCCCCTCCCGAAAATCACTTAAACGCACATAACTCATTACAAAATTAAGATATCCACATATGCATGAAAATATTACTGTGACTTTTTTTCCGATCGGTCCATAATTGGTCATAGCTCCCATACAAGGTCCCCTCCCGAAAATCACTTAAACGCACATAAATAATTACTAAATTAAGATATTTATATAAAGTTTAGCACAAGCATTCTCATATACAGACAAATATTACTGTGAATTTGTTTTCCTATCGGTCCATAATTGATCATAGCTCCCAAGGTCCCTTTCAGAAAAACACATAAAGGCTCACTCATTATCAAATAGTGATACCCATAAAACATTTGGCATAAATACTATTTTTGTACACAGAAATGTTATTTGAACATTTTTTCATGATCGGTCCAACTTTGGTCATAGCTCCCATACAAGGTTCCCTCGCGAAAATCACTTAAACGCACATAACTCATTACAAAATATTGATATCCATACATTTAGCAAAAATATTCCTCTTATATACATAAATTAAACTATAAAATTGTTTTACGATCGGTCCATATTTGGTCATAGCTCTTATACTAGGTCCCCTCCAGAAAATCACTTAAATGCACAATATTCATTACCAAATAATGATATAGATACAGAATTTTGAAATTTTGTCTTTATATACAAAATTGGTCATAGCTCCCATACAAGGTCCTTTTACGAAAATCTCTTAAACGCACATTACTCATTACCAAATAAAGCTATTGATAAAAATTTTGGCCCAAATATTAATTTTGTATACAAAAATTCTATTTCAAGATTTTTTCACGATCGGTTCATAACATGGGTGCGGTCGGTCCCATACAAGGTTCCCTTCAGAAAATCACTTAAACACACATTACTTATTACTAAATTACGATATAGATACAAAATTTGACTGAAATATAGCTTTTATGAACAGAAATTTTGCTTAAAGAATTTTTTACGATCGGTCTATAATTGGTCATATCTCCCATACTATGTCCTGCCCCTAAAAGCGCTTTAACCGTATTTAACTAGTTGCATTATCAATTTGTGTAGAACAAAATTATATATATTTATTTTGAAAATCCTTAAATCTTTTACACACATGCATACATGCAAAATACTAAATATCGCTAAGCGCTATAAAAATATAAAGCAAATGGTGTTTGTAATGTTCAATAAATCATGGAATTGTAATAGATTTAAGCTGTTTAAATTTTTGTATTTTTTCTATTCAAGACATGAGAAAACTTATTTCTACAAATATTTGATCAATTAGAAAAGTATTAATATATGTATAAGTAGCTGGTGGAGGGTATTTAAGATTCGGCTCAGCCGAATATAGCACTCTGACTTGTTTTTATATACCAATGACCGCCAGGCTGCATGCCACTATATCATTATAGTCTAACTCAAAAATATCGATATCTGTTTAAATATTGATTACTATGATCAAAATAAACCCAAAATTTTGGACTTATAGTGTTATTGTAATGAATTTTTTACGATCGGTCTATAATTGGTCATATCTCCCATACTATGTCCTGCCCCTAAAAGCGCTTTAACCGTATTTAACTAGTTGCATTATCAATTTGTGTAGAACAAAATTATATATATTTATTTTGAAAATCCTTAAATCTTTTACACACATGCATACATGCAAAATACTAAATATCGCTAAGCGCTATAAAAATATAAAGCAAATGGTGTTTGTAATGTTCAATAAATCATGGAATTGTAATAGATTTAAGCTGTTTAAATTTTTGTATTTTTTCTATTCAAGACATGAGAAAACTTATTTCTACAAATATTTGATCAATTAGAAAAGTATTAATATATGTATAAGTAGCTGGTGGAGGGTATTTAAGATTCGGCTCAGCCGAATATAGCACTCTGACTTGTTTTTATATACCAATGACCGCCAGGCTGCATGCCACTATATCATTATAGTCTAACTCAAAAATATCGATATCTGTTTAAATATTGATTACTATGATCAAAATAAACCCAAAATTTTGGACTTATAGTGTTATTGTAATGGGCAACATAAGCGTGAAAGTTACGATTAGTAAAAACTGAAATCTACTGTATAGGATGACGTAATGTAAAGCATGTTTTGGAATTATATACCGATATAATGTATTGAAAATTTAAAATATATTAGTGCTAATATGTACATGAATGTATACTAGCCAACTTTGTCGGAAAATATCGACCCTAGTGGTACGAAAACGGACTTAAGATCCATACAATTCAATTAGAAACAGAATAACGATACCAAAAATACATCTTGGAACTTTTAAGTACAGATCCTTATAACAAAAATTATTATTTTTAGATACCTCAAGGGGTCTTTTAAATCCCAATATTAAAGTTTGGTTTTATTTCTGAAAAAAAAGAAAAAAATTGCAAATATGGTCAAAAATCGCCATTTTAATGATATTACATGAAAAGATGGTACAAAATGCTCCAAAATTGTGGAACAAATGGGCCAAAAATATATAATTTCGGTTGATAGTAACCCCTTGACACAATTTTAAGCAAAAAACCACTCGATTATAATTTTTGTGTTTCGTATAATATGGTCATATATGAAATACAGAAAAAATTCGAATAATTTTGTGAGGCAATTTTATGGACTTTTTTAAAAAAAGTTAAATCAATTGAGGTA